TCAGTTATACCCAGTGTAAATTTATTTGCTATCATATCTCATACTTCAGGTGTTGTTTAAAGGACATCCTGAGTCTCCATGGATTAACTCAAAAGGGTGGTAGCATTTTTTCTTCTTGCAGAAAAGAAGGACCAATATTGTAGATACTTGTTTACTTTCAGAAAAACTCTGTAAATTAACTTCTACAGACATCATGCAATGGTCATTTTAACATTTCTACCTACCTTTTGTATTATACACACTACAAACATTAATAGGGAGTCATTTTTCCTCATTCCAACAAATATATTGAGTGAAAAATACATAAAGTGGAGAACAAGTTCAAATTTACCTTTTAGGGGAGGATATAAATTTTCTAGCCCAAAGACTTTATGAAGCTCATAACAATAGCAGGGAGATCCAGTGTTCAAAATATCTCTTCCTCAAGTTGTGAATTGCTTTCAGTAGGTTGCAGTCATTCAGAATTTCCCATTTTGTCAAATCCCATTTTTGGAAGTTGTCACAGTGAATGCTCTGCCTTATCCTGAGTTTTCATTCATTCATCCCCACACTTGGTATGTACAATCTAAACCTCCTTAGCTATGTCTCATACACCAGAGCTTAGTTCTGAAAATGTTTTGTTCTTGTGTTACAGCACCAACTTTGTCCAAAAAATGACCAGACATTCTTTTTTCCCAGTTAGTGTATATCTCCACTTTTACCTAAATATATTTTGACGTTCAAAGTCACACCAAATATATTTCTAGTGTGTCACACACCCCAAAATATATTTCTTCACTGAGATGGACTCCAAATATATTTCTTATGCCTGGACCCTGAATTGTGACTGTCACACTGCAGAAATATATTTCTGGTCTGGGATGGACTCAGGATATATTTTGCAGCTGGGATTGACCAAGGATATATTTCTTCAGCCACTAGGGGTGTTTGGGGTCCCAGTTCCTAAAAAAACTTGTGATTTTTTTTGGGATGGGGGACATATATTCTAGGTAATTTACCTATTATTTTTTAGGGTTTTAGCCACCCTTCCTTGACTGTTTGTAGCATATGTATGAGAGGTTTCTTTACTGATATGTCATGAAAGCTGAGTATTCCTCTCACTCAAGCAATGGAGAACACTGGAGAAGAAAGCTGGATGTTGTTGTTGGAGTACTTGATGAGGGAAGCTGTGTGTTGTTGTTGGAGTACTTGGTGAGGGAAGCTGGGTGTTCCACATGAGTACAACCATCTATAGTTTAATACCATCTTTTCCTCAGTGCATGCATACCCATCATACTACTTACTTATATCAGTACAACCATCTAAATTTTTATATAATAATGAGGGAAACTGGGTGTTGTTGTTGGAGTGCTTGGTGAGGGAAGCTGGGTGTTGTTGTTGGAGTATTTGGTGAGAGAAGGTGGATGTTCCTCACACTAAAGCATTGGAGAGGACAGCAGGTAAGTTATGTTATATTCATAGATGGTAGCATACATCTTGATGTATGACTTGGGCAAGAAACATCATAGATCTGAACAGCTGGCTTGTAAGTTGTAGTGTTGGTCTTGATGGGTAGCATACATCAGAACAGCTGGCAAGTTGTGTTAAATTATTGATAGATGTAGCATACATCTTGAGCTATGACTTGGAATAAA